TGAACCGGCGGTTGGCACTCTGTCTGGGTCTGCGAGCAGCCTTCCTGCATGACTGTGCGGCAGCCGGCGTCTCTTTCAAAGTAACCCCACGGTTCCTGGTCCTGTGGAGATGTCCCTCAGCAGTGGCCGGAGCGTGCGGCCCAAGTCCCAGCTTGCCTGTGCCGTCTGCGAGTGGAGGGGCTGGAGGCACAGCGCTGGGCAGAACTGGGTTTGGGCTTCTCTTCAGACAGGAGCACCTGATAACCCTTTGCTGTACTTGAGACAAATGAAACATCATAAGAACAACAACAACAAAAATACCTTTCCTGTGACTAAGCCACTTCTGTCGCAATTGGAACAGGGCGCGTCTTAGGGCGTCCGTTGCTGTGATAGAGCTCCACGGCCAAGAGCAACCTGGAGAGAAAGATGTGTGTTTGGCTCATGCTTCCACAGCACAGTTGCTCCTAGAAGGAAATCAGGAAGGAAATCGAGGAAGGAACTGAAGCAGAAACGTGGAGAAACGCTGCTTGCTCCCAGTGGCTTGCTTAGTCTGCTTTCTTTCTCTTTGTTTTTCTTTCTTTCCCATTTTTAAATTTTATTTAAATTAGAAACAAGCTTGCTTGACAAGTCAATCCCAGCTCACTCTCACCCTCCCCTCCCCCCCAGCCCCTCACCAACCTCCCCCACCCCCCTATCCCATTCCCCTCCACTCCCCAGGGAGGGCGAGGCCCTCCGTGGGGAATCTTCAAAGCCTGTCATAATCCAGGGCAGGGCCTAGGCCCTCCCCCATGTGTCCAGGCTGAGACAGCATCCCTCCATGTGGAATGGACTCCCAAAGTCCGTTTGTACACCAGGGCTAAATACTGGTCTACTATCCAAGACCGCATAGATTGCCAAGTCCTCCTCACTGACACCCACGTTCAGGGAGTCTGGGTCAGTACTATGCTGGCCTCTCAGTCACCAGTCTGGGGACCATGAGCTCCCACTTTGTTCTGGTCAGCTGCCTCTGTGGGTTTAACCAGTCAGGTCTTGACTCCTTTGCTCATCACTCTTCCCTCCCTGCAACTGGGTTCCAGGAGTTCAGTTCAGTGTTTAGCTGTGGGTGTCTGCCTCTGCTTCCTTCAGCCACTGGATGAAGGCTCTAGGATGGCATATAAGGTAGTCATCAATCTCATTATCGGGGGAGGGCATTTAAGGTAGCCTCTCCACTGTCTATTGGTTAGTTTGCTAGTTGGTGTCATCCTTGTAGATCTCTGAAGATCTCCCTAGTGCCAGATCTCTTCTCAAACCTATAGAGGCTCCTTGACTCAACCTTCCCCCCATGTCCTCCTCTCCTCTTCTCTCCTCCCCTCTCTTTCTCCAAGCTTCCTCTCCCCTCCTCTTACTCCTTGTTCCCAATCCCCTCAGGAGATCCCATTCCATTCCCCTTCTCTGGGGTACCATGCATATCTCTCTTAGGATCATCCCTGTTTCCCAGACTCTCTGGCGGTGGGGTTGTAGGCTGGCACTCTCCTGTTCCATGTCTAAAATCCATGTATGAGTGAGTACATACCATGTTTGTCTTTTTGTGAGTGGGTTACCTCACTCGGGATGATTTCTTCTAGTGCCTTCCATTTGCCTGTAAATTTCAAGATTCCATTGTTTTTTGTTTTCTTTCTGCCGAGTAGTACTCCATTGTGTAAATGTATCACATTTTCTCTATCCACTCTTTAATTGAGGGGTTGCTTCCAGGTTCTGGCTATTACAAATAATGCCGCTATGAACATAGTGGAGCAGATGTCCTTATTGTATGAATGGACATCTTTTGGGTATATGCCTAAGAGTGAATTGCTGGATCTTGTTGTAGACTGATTCCCATTTTCCTGAGGAATCTCCATACTGATCTCCAAAGTGGCTGTACAAGTTTGCGCTTCCACCAGCAGTGGAGGAGTGTTCCCCTTTTCCCACATCCTCTCCAGCATAAATTGTCACTGGTGTTTTTTATTTTAGCCATTCTGACAGGAGTGAGATGGTATCTGAGAGTTGTTTTGATTTGCATTTCCCTGATGGCTAAGGATGTTAAGCACTTTCTTAAGTGTCTCTTAGCCATTTTAGACCCCTCTATTGAGAATTCTCTATTAACTCCAACAAATCCTTAACACAAAATATCCAGGAAATATGGGGCACCATGAAAAGACCAAACCTAAGAATAATAGGTCTAACCTGCTTTCTTACACTATCCAGTATGTCCGTCTGCCCATTGGTGACACCACCCACGGTGAGTTGGGAACTCCCACATCTAACCAGGCCCCGCCTCCTGCCCTTCACCGTCTCTCAAAAGGCTGTTGCATTGTGAATCCATCAAGGGGTCAATCCAAACAGGAAAGTTCCTCAGGATCCCATCTCAGGGTAGCTTTCCCAACACCCTCAGAGGCGAGCGCCAAAAATCTCGTAGGCCCTTCTCAGCCCAGTCAGGCTGATCACCAAGATTTAGAGCAACGGGGCCAAACCTTACCCCTCAAAAGACCTATTACATAGCTTCCTTGTAGTTCAGAAGCATAAAGGTTGAATTTTGTCAGTCTTGTGTGGATTATCCTCAGAGAAGCAACGAAGGAAGGACCAGACCCCTGAACACCACAAGGAAATAAGCAAAAGCCCGAGTCACAGAGGGTATCTGCAAGGGTTCCAGAGGAGGGCGCATTGTGATCAGGGAGGGCTGTCCACATGGGGAGACCAGAGAGAGAGAGACAGGGAGGTGGCAGTCCCCGTGTGGTATGTATATATATATATAAGGAAATGCCTAACAACCGCTTTCAAGGGTGCAGAAGACACAAGATATATCCGGGCAAGTAACCCTCACGACCTTGGGACATGCCATTACCAGATGTCTGTCTCCAAAATACCTAGGGAGCCCTTCCGTCAGGAGGAATCCCCATAAAGACACAGGTACACAAGCCAGCTTGGTGTAGAGTGAAGACTGGCTGCACACTTTGGTTTCGTGTGGGATGCTCTGGGTTACTATCAATGCAATAAAGCAGAGATCGTCTTTTTTTTTTTTTTTTTTTTGGTTTTTCGAGACAGGGTTTCTCTGTGGCTTTGGAGGCTGTCCTGGAACTCACTCTGTAGACCAGGCTGGCCTCGAACTCACAAAGATCCTGCCTCTGCCTCCCGAGTGCTGGGATTAAAGGCGTGCGCCACCAACGCCCGGCCAGAGATCGTCTTTTGTCACGCTAAGGATCCATGATGTCTAAGAGCTAACCCCCCCCCAACACAAACTACCACTCCGCCACGACAGAGATGATGCAAACTCAGAATCCGCTTTCCCGCTAAGTTCACATCTTCTTTCAACTAAGTATTACTTAAATTTAAACAATGTAGAGATCGGTTTCCCTGATAAGCCATGGATTATGAGCTCATAGAATTTGAAACGTCGAGGTCAATCCTTTCCCCGTTGAAAGATGAACGAGGCAGTAGAATGTGAGGCCCAAAGCTGGTGGTTTTTCCCCAACCCTCACAACCTGCATAAGGAGACGGTACAAGGCAGGCTTACAGACGGGAGGGGGGAGGAGTCCGGCAGGTCAGAGACCCAGCTGAGCCGTACAGCAGCAAACACAAGAGCTAGATGAGCCTCTGCCTGCCCTGTGTGTACAACCCTGGAAGACGCTGGTACAGGTTAAGGTCTATGCTACATTTGGACCATCCTGCACCTCACCCAAGGGACTTGGTGGCAGGTAGAAATTGGTGCAGGCCAACAGAGGCTCTTACCCTCTGGGATAGCGTCATACTCTGGGCTAAAATCACCAACAGACTATGCGGCACCTGTAATCGGGTGGCAGGAAATGCCTTAATACTACATACATTGTGAGGCCAGTGAATGCCACAGACCACAAGCATCATGCAGGCAATCACTGAATTTCACTTGGCCGTGTGTGATGTAGCCCAACCTGTAGATTTCCGACCCGGCCAGAGACTTCCAAGAAGCAAATGGATACACCTCACACAGTCTCAGAGCTTCCTTAAAGTTAAAAAAATGACTGAAATGGCCTTCATGAAAGAAACAGCCAGAGACCAACCAAGGGGAGCACAGCAGGAGGGAGGAGGGAGAACCTCCTCAAACAGGGGCCGTCTCTGATAGTTTGGACTGGAGCGTTTCCCTTAGGACAGGCCTCTGTTGAAATGGAGGTATCACTGTGGGGGTGTCTGCTGAAGGAAAACCCTGGAAGCGGGGTGCTGTAAGCAAGTGCCCCCTCCTGAGCCTCTTCAAGGAGGTGCAGCCACTAAGCCAACCCATGGCTGCATGTTTTCTTTTCCTCCAGGGCGTACTCAGTATCGTGGGTTTGCTAGAGTGTTGTTGTGTTCCATCTGTGTCAGAGTAGCAGTAATAAAGGTCCTCGAGGGAAAAGCCTGTGGGCACCTAGCTTTCCAACTGAGCAGGTTAGGGTTAGGGTTAGGGTTAGGGTTAGGGTTAGGGTTAGGTTAGGGTTAGGCCAAGTGACCATCAGTCAGGACGGAGGGACCACTCCCAGGGAAGCGAACTCTCTTTTAAGCCATGCCAAAGGATAGGTAGACTAACCGTCCCTCAGTTTAATACTGCGTTTTTCCCTCCCAGGACTCCTGCCCCTTCCCCCAGCTCAGTCTCTCTGCTTGACTTATTTGCTTGCTTTTCTGAGTAACTCGGAAAATTTCTCCCATTTCTTCTTTTTTATCGCTGTTCTAAACCACGCGTCCCGTAACACACACTCAGGACTTCTCTGCTCTTTCTTTCCCATCTCCCCGCCGCCACGTGGCTCCCAGCTGCCACGTGCTTGGTCTTCAAACGTGTATAACTCAACCAGCATAATTTTTTTTCCTTTTCCCTCCTCTCCTTCATTTGCCTCTTCCAGGAAGTTGCTGAGATTTACAGCTTGCTGCCTTGGTTTTTTTTCTTTCTTCTTTTCTAGTTTTCTTTTATTTAATTATAGCTACTACTAATGCGGTGGTTTGAATGTAACTGGCCCTCACAATCTCACAGGGAGTGGCACTATTAGGAAGTGTGGCTTTGTTGGGGTGGGGGTGTGGCCTTGCTGGAGGGAGGGTGTCACTGTGGGGGCGGACTTCGAGGTTTCCTGTGCTCAGGACACCACCCAGCGTCTCAGTTGACTTTCTGTTGCCTGTAAAATGTAGGACTCTCAGCTACGACTCCAGCACCATGTCTGTTGAAAAGCGTGATGATGATGGACTAAGACTAAACCTCTGAAACTATAAATAAGCCACCCCAATTAAATGGTTTCCTTTACAAGAGTTGCTGTGGTCATGGTGTCTCTTCGCAGCAATAGACGCTCCAAATAATAATGACGGTGATGACGGTGGTGTTGGTGGTGATGGTGGTGACAGGTTCTCACTGTGTAGCCCTACCTGGCCTGAAACTCACTGCGTAGACCAGGCTGCCCTCATTCTCACAGTGACCAGCCCGCCTCTGCCTCTCGAGTGCTGGGATTCAAGGCGCGAGCACCGCACCAAGCAGGGTTTTCCTCTTAAACTAGTAAAACTGTCCTCCGTGTGAGGCCGAATGAACCCCTCACGTCGGCTGAAACATCCTCCCCGAGACACTGAGAGGTGTGTGCTGTTGAGAGGCTTCTTGCGTAGCACTGTAGCATTCCCAGAGTCCACAAAGCCCCTTAGCTGGGAAGTGATTAGAGGACACAGGGACTGTGTCCCACCCCCCCAGCCTTGTGTGGCATAGGTTACACATCCGGAAAACGATGGTTAGAACAAAGCTATACAGGCATGTAGTGATTCCACAATCAAAGGAGTCAGCACGGAGGGCCAGTTGCCACAGGCCACCTTGATTGGTTACCGCTGGGTAAACTATCCCAGTGATGGCTGGGTGTCCTGCCCCGATGGCCATGACCTAATCTAGTGACCCAGCCCGGTGACCATGGGATGAGTTAGTCCAGTGACTACAGGGTGACCTCGTCTAACGACCTCGGGGTGAACAGAGGCACTCATCTCTTCCTTTGGGATGTCTGAAGACGCCCTCTCCCCCTTCTGCCCCCCCCCAACCAGCAGCTTGGGCTGCTTTTCCTGCAGTAGCTCCATCCTGGCACCAGGTGGTGCCGTTGGCAGTCAGGAGCGAGGGACATGAGGACAATTTGCATTCCTCAATTCTTTTGTGCTTCCCGTTGCTATGAAAACACCCACCTGTGTTAAGGGAGACTCTGAGGGAAGGCTGAGTACTTATTAACATGTGGACCGAACTTACTCTGTCAAATGCCCCCCTTTCCACCTTGATCTTGTCCCCTCCCCGGTGCCACCCTGTCCGCCCGTCTTTTTCCCACAACTGGCTGCCCACCCGTAAGTGGCTCAGCCGCACAGAACAGCGGGCGACTCTGTGATGGGAACCGTGCAGCCTTTGGAATGGCAGCTGTAACGAGTTTCCTGAGGGCTCCAGGGAACCCCGTTGGAATGCTAACTGCCGAAGCAAGGGCAGGGCTGCGGCCCCGACCTTACCTACAGGAGAGGGCACCACGTGCTCAGGGCACTTCCCTCAGGTCGATGGGTGGGACTGAAAACCATTGCTCTCTTCTCCTTTCAGTTTTCTGGGTGCACAGAAATTCTCTGCGAGGACAACTCAAGTGGCAGTTTCCTGGGAGTCTCAGTGACACTGTCTTTCTGGCCACCGAGAGCGCCCACCCTCCCACACGCCGCCACCGAGAGTCACGCCTAGGGCGTTACAGCACGGAGGAGGGGTCTGTAGATCCACCCCTCTTGTAGGCTCAGACTCAAGGCTCTTGGGTTGGCTTCCCGGGTTCTACAGCAGTCTGTTTTTAACACCTGGCACTTCCGGAAGCCAGGCAAAGTCCGTGTGTGGTCTTGGTGTGATAGCTAACGACACATCTGGAATGACAAGAGCTGGGTCTCTTTTCTAAAAGCGGGTCAGGCAGGACCCGGCACATTGTGTTTGTTATGTTGGGGTCCCGCCTGTGACATCCCCATTCCGAGGTCTGGCTTAACCAACCGGACATACACAGAGGGTCGGCACTTCAAGTGCCCAGTGGAGATGTCTGATATCATAGCAGATCCTGGGCCAGAGCCTGGCCCGGTTGGCACAGAAAATTCACCGTCACAGAAGCTGGCCAAAGCGTCCCCGCCTCACAGGTGTTCTTGAAGGAGCCTCCACATCTGGCTGCCATCGAGGAGCTGGCCCATGTGACCACGGCCGCTTTGCTTGGTGACCCCTTCATCTATGGGCATCCTTGGCCTCTAGACTATTCCTCAGCAGCTGGCATCAGCTGCATCCATTTTTTTTAAACATACACCATTTGTTTAATGACAGGCAGGAACTCATTAAGAAAGGAAGCAGGGCAACCAGCCCTTCAATCACTCTTCTTCAGCAGTAACGGACATTGTCTATTTTCTGCACCAAGTGCACGTCGCCAGCTGATGCGTTGTAATTACAGCCTTTTAGGAGCAGAAAACCGAGAGCAGGCAGTTCTGAAAAAAGAGGCCCCACTCAGCTCCCTCACTGAATCCCCTTACAGCCGGGAGTAGGCAGCAAAACTTGCTGCCGCTGCTGCTCTTCTACGTGGGCATCTGTGTGTAAAGCAAGAGAGCGGCCGGCCTCTCCGTGTCCACATCCGGGGCGTGCTGACCGCCTAGAGCACACCCGGGCCATGCGTTGGGTAGGTGCATACTGTGCACATGGTGGGTGGGGCCTGCTTGCTGATGGTGGTTAAAGATGCTACCATCAGCTCCTTCTCCTGCTGCTTCCTTGTCTCTGAAGTGAGACCACGAGATGACTTTCGGGAGACCTTGGAGAGGAGAGGTGAAGTTTAAGCAAAATAATACATGCAAGCCTACGAGCAGAGTAAAACCCAGAGCGTGTTAGTCCTTTTCTTTCTTTGACCACACTATAGTGTCATCACTAAGGCTCTCTGAAGGGTGCTATCATCTGCCTGTCTCTCATCCAGAAAGAACCGGACCAGGGCAGCCTGTTTCTGCCCTGCAGAATATCTGGGTTGAACTGAGTTCTCAGTAAGGAATGAAGTTAAATGTTCATTTGACGCTGGGAGGTGGGGGATGGGGGTGGGGGGATAGGAGGGTTGGGGGGCGTCATGAGCAGTGCAGTCCTGAAGGCTTCTGTGTCTCTGTCACAGGGTCACACAGGTGCCCAGTGATGATGGCATGCGTATCTCTTGCCACAGGGAGCAGGTAGAGCGCATAGTTCCTAGGACCCGTGCGCCTGCCCCAGGCCCTGCCCAAACCCCAGCTGTTTCCAGGGGACAGGAAATGTGGGCTGTGGTTCCCATTTCCCTAACTATACCTGCCCTCTTGTCTGTTGCCTGAAAGCTCCAACGGATACAGCTTACTCTTGGCTCAAGCCTGTTTCCTTTGATACCATAAAAAGGGGACAGTTGGAGGTGTTTGCAATTAAAAGGAGTCTCATCCACAAACCTTCTGTTTCTTGCTGCTCAGGACTGACTGGTGCAGAAGGGCACTGCCTTAGTTAGGGTTTCTGTCATTGCAATGAGACACCTTGGCCAAAAAGAAAGTCGGGAAGGAAAGGGTCTACTTGGCCTATATTTCTACATTGCTGTTCATCGCTGAAGGAAGTCAGGACAGGAACTCCAAACATGGCAGGACTCTGGAGGCAGGCGCTGATGCAGAGGCCATGGAGGGGTACTTCTTACTGGCTTTCTTCCCACAGCCTGCTCAGCCTGCTTTCTTATAGAACCCAGGACCACCAGCCCAGGGATGGCCCCACCCAAATGCCCTACAGCCAGATCTCATGGAGGTGTTTCCTCAGCTGAGGCTCCCTCCTTTCAGATAATGCATTTACGTGCAAGTAGACTTAAGGCTAGCCAGCAGAAGTGCCTGTCATGTCCCAGATGTGAGGAAGTGGCTCAGATCCAGGAGTGGGGTTTGTCCCCACACAGGGCCCAGCGCGCCTCCTTGCTTGTTTTGTAATGGAGCAGCCAAGCATGGCCCTGGGTCTTTGAGGACTCTTCATCTCTGCTCAGAACGTGGCATGAATATCAGGTGCATGCCATGCTGGGGTCATCTGAGCTGGCTGACCCCAGGAACATCACTGTGACCAAGCCCGGGCACGTGTCTGCCAGCAGCCACATGTCTCCAGCGTCGTGTCTCACAGCGTGGCCGTGGCCCCCTTCAAGCTGGGTCCGTATTTCACGTGGCCCAGAGGGGTTTCCATCCTCTCTCCTAATTTCCGTCTTCTTTTTATTTTATTGACTTCAAGACTCTGTGTGTGTGTGTGTGTGCGTGCGTGTGTGTGTGTGTGTGTGCGTGCATGACACTGGAACCCTTCTCAGCCATTCCCATGTCCAGATCTGCAATTCAGAAACTCAGGTGGCCTGTGGAAGCCGCTGCTGATGCAATGCGGCCGTATTTCTCAGCTCCCAAGCTGCACCAGCCAGGGAGCCCAGGGCGCCTCGCCTTTCCTCTTCAGGGATGGAGGGTAATGCCTTCTTCCCAGCTTGGGAGCTCCGGTATGCCTCTTACCTGCGCGTCTCTGTGCTGATCTGTGGGCCGCAGTACCGCGGTATAGCACGGCTCTGCTGCAGTGTTCGGCTCCCCGAGACTGACCTTTAGACCTGTAAAAACATTAACAAGTTCCAGCAGAATTGCATTTTATTGCCCTCTTTCTGCACACGGTCATCATTGAATGGTGGAATTTAGTGCTGTAGCTCTACAACGAAGCCCTGTCACTCCTGGGGAACACTGACTGCCAACAATGGAACAAACCCCACATCTCTAGTTTTGGCCTCAGCCTCCTTGAGTCACAGGTCTGAGAGGGAGGTCAGAGAACGGAGGACCAAGGCATGCTTCACTTAGGTGTCCTGTCTGTCTGTCTGTCTGTTTTTTGATTGCATTTGTTTAGTTTGTATGCGTGCACTTTGCCTATGCCGGGGAGTAAGGGGTGGCTATGTGTGCCAGGGCTCATATGTGGAGGTCAGAAGACAACTGTGGGAGTTGGTTCTCTCCCTCCATGTGGGTCCTGGGGATTGAACCCAGGGTGTCAGGTTTGGTAGAAGTGTCTTTACCCCATTGGCTCTTCATTTAGGTTTTTTTCTTATTTTTTTTTAACCCAAACATCAGGCTAATAAAAATGATCGTCCCACAGGTATTGGTGAAGATATGGCATAGCTGCCATGCTCACTGCTTTCTAATTTTCTTTTCATGTGCCTGTACATGCTTGTGTATGCTCTTATGGAGGCCCGAGGTCAGTCTCGGGTGTCTTTGTCTATTTCCCTCCACTTTATCATCATCATCATCATTATTTTTTGAGGCAGGTTCTCTCACTGAACCTGAAGTTCACCGTGAGTGGCTGGGGAGCCACTGCGGTCCTCGTGTGCTGAGATTGCATCTGTGCACTGCCTTGCCCAAGTTTTTAATGTGGGCGCTGTGGATCTGAACTCAGGTCCCTCGGCTTGTGCAGCAAGCCTGTCACCACCGACCACCTCCCCAGCCTTGGCCACTGCTTTTAAATGTAAAAAAAAATCTAAACCTTTGTGTAGTCCCTTTGAGTCAAGCAAGCGGTCCCCGCTACCCCCCAGAGGTAGAACCCAACTCAGGAGGAGGAGGCCCCCTCCACTCGGCTCCATCTCACTTTCATTTTCATGGAAACCGTGAGACTGTCTTCATGTTTCAGATGAAACATGTTTTTGAGCAAAGAGTACATTACCCAGCTGTCCTGAGAGCCGTTACTTACCGCTGTTCAAATTTCATCCTAGCTGCCTGCCACTGTTCTTTCTTTCCATTTACTTTTGAGGCATATCACAAGAAAGCTGCTTCTTGACATATCTCACTCAGAGAAACTACAAAAAGTGGGGGGGAGAAGGAAAAAGGGGGGCACGCTAGAGCTTTAGAAGCTGTTCTGCCAATGCATTTTTGCTTAAATAATTCAATGCTGTATGCCAGTTAGCATTTGGAAATCTAGTGCTGATTGGCCCAACTTAAGGGTAAATTTGAAAACAATAAGAAACACACACCTTATGCTTATTAATAGCGTGGGTCCCACAAAAACCGAAATAACAGGTGATATCTCTGAGACACGAGAGCAGGCAGCCAACAAAGGCACGCACGATGTGTGTGGCTTGCCACTAGCCTAGGGGGGGAGATGGCTGTGTTGCCAGCTTTACCACACTGGAACAAACACGGAGACACGCGAATTATAAAGGAGAAAGATTCTGGCTCACAGTTGGATGTTAAGCCCGTGACCCCCTTGCCATGTTGTTCTGAGAGACAGACAGAGACAGAGAGAGGAAGACATAGAGAGGGAGACACAGAGGTGGGAAAGAGACAGAGACAGAGAGGGAGAGACAGAGAGAGACAGAGAGGGAGAGACAGAGAGTTGTGAGAGACAGACAGAGAGACAGAGACAGGAAGACAGAGAGGGAGACACAGAGAGAGAGGGAGACACAGGTGGGAAAGAGACAGAGAGAGGGAGAGAGAGAGGGAGAGAGACAGAGAGAGAGAGAAAGAAAGGTAAGAGACAAAAGAGGCAGGGGCCAGGGTCCCACTGTCCCTTCTGAGGACACATTCGGAAGTCTGAGGACCTCCTTCAGAGTCCCACCTCTTAGAGGTTATACCAGGGTCTGGGGACTCATTCTTTGTGTGCCTTTAGGGGACACCCAGGATTCAAACCACTGCATTGGATAAAGCTGATATATTCCTGTTCTGAATCCTGAAATGGAGATGCGCACAATCCCTCGAGAAATGAACTTGAATTTATCTTCACCGCTGACGCCATCGAAGCTCCGGGGTATTCATGATTTCAGAAAGGGAACATCAGCTTGCTGGGATAATGGCTAACGAAGAGGCAAAGAATGTGCACTGTCCCGTTTGACCAAGTCCCCGTCTCAGAAAAAAACAATAGTTGTGTACTGAAGAAATCCAAGTGTGAGTGTTAACACTTCCCAAGGGAAGGATGGAGGCTAACACAGCCCCGAAAGACCCAGCAGGCTGAGTGAGGCCGCGTCTCCCCTTCTACACAGCGTCTTGAGGGTGTTTATGCCGACGTGCTCTCAGGAAAGGGCAGGCAGCTGCCTCCTCAAGCTAGGGAGGGAAACGGCAGGGCCAGGGGGAGAGGATGCTTGCCCAGATCCCGCTCACTGAACTTGCATTCAGACATAAATGTGGCAGACAGCCACTACCACACACATTCAGGTTTGGAGACAGCTGGAGCCAAGCCACCCCGGACAGGCTTTTCGCAGGTGCTTGTGAGCTAGGAAAGCGGAGGCAAAACAGACAGCTTGTTACCTGACCTGCACACGAGATAGGTCTCCTGGCTGCCCACCTCTGACCTAGCGTTCGTTCATGCTGTAGTGATGATGTACATGCCTCACGCATGCTGGAATGGCACCCGTACTCGGTCTTGGGTAGACGGGGCGCGGTAATGCCAGGTGGCAGCTCTGCACTGCCTGACCCTTGAGCATGGAGTGGGAGGAAAGGGCGGTGCCCACCCCATGGGGATAAAGACTGGGAAGCGCTTCCTGATAGCAAATGTGTCGTGAGGATGCACATTCATGTCCTAAGGGCCCCTAGCGTCGATGGCCACATCGCCCGAAGCCTAAGGGAGGGGTGACGGGTCCCCTGGCCCCGCCATGGTAGCGCAAGTCTGTCAAAACTGCTGCTTTCTAAAGTGGAGCTTTTTTTTTTGGGCAAAAGTACTTTATGTTTGAAAAGCACTGCTCGTGTTGATGCAGCTTCTTAGCGCAATTTTAAAAAAGGCCAGAGTTGCCGACATGGGCGAGGGGGTCTTCTCTGACGCCACAGGAAGCAGGATGCGGGGTAGGTCCTCCCTCAGGCCGAGAGTTTCTGTCTCAGGCTGGGCTCTGCTGGGAGAATGAGGGAATGCAGTCCCTAACACCACGCCCTGGCGGGCAAGAGAGCTGGAAAGGCACAGAAACAAGTGTGGGCCTGCTCATGTTGTACCATAGCCGAAACCACACAACCACTGTAATAATCCGCACATAAAACATTGAGGTTGTTCATTCGGCTACCTTTAGAAATTCTGTGAGAATGTCACAAACTGCCGTGTGTGAAACAGAAGAGGCCAAGCTGATGTTGGTGCAGACAGCTCCAACCTAACAGAGTAGCGGAGGTGACACAGTATCTGCAGTGTGGCCTGTGGCCTGCCGTGTGACCTGTGGCCTGCAGTGTGGCTTGCAGTGTGGCCAGTGGCCTGCAGTGTGGCCTGTGGCCTGCAGTGTGGCCTGTGGCCTGCAGTGTGACCGATGACCTGCAGTGTGGATTGCAGTGTGGCCTGTGGCCTGCAGTGTGGCCCGTGGCCTGCAGTGTGGCCTGTGGCCTGCCATGTGCCCGTGGCCTTCAGTGTGGCCAGTGGCCTGCTGTGTGCCCATGGCCTGCAGTGTGGCCTGTGGCCTGCAGTGTGGCCTGTTCCTTTTCAGACTAGGTCACAAGAAGAACATCTTTTCTAAGACGGGGTGTCACGATCCCCTTTCTGGGCCTGAATCACTATTTAACCTTTTACGCTGTGTCATCTCAACACGAGGAAATGCTTGCCCTGTTGATGTGGCTGAGTGGCCTTCAGTAGGCTCTGGGGCTGAGGGCTCGTTTGTCACGTGACACAGTATCCACTTGGAAAGGCCAGTGAGCTCCTCTGGAACTCAGGGCCAGGGATTAGGGTTTCCTGCCATCTGTACCACTTGTGCTCCTTGCCATACTTGGTGCCATTTGTGTGGTTGGCTCATCACCGGTGGATGAGGGGCCCTCATCTCACTCCCGTGCTGCATGCATGAGCAAAGAGGACAGTCACTCCACTCCATACCCACGTGGACACCTGCCCTGAGCACAGCTCTCGACACACGGCAGTTTGAAGGCTGAGGAGTGAGTTAGTAGAACTTGCTACTTTGCAGGGTCCAGACTTCTGCAGGTCAGAGAGACTGGGAACAACACACACAGACATCTTTTCTGAGGGATAAAAGTTTCTCTTTAGTCTTACTATTCTTTCTGCTGCTTGCTCTACTCTGTTCTTTTTCTGTTCTGTTCTTCTAACCTGATACGACCCTTCTCTCTTTTTCCTGATGACTTCCTTCCCACTGCTTCCTACTGACTTCCTTCTCACTTCCTGATGACTTCCTTCCTACTGCTTCCTGTTGACTTCTTCTCACTACTTCCTGATGCCTTCCTTTCTACTACTTCCTGTTGACTTCCTCACTACTTCCTGTTGACTTCCTCTCACTACTTCCTGTTGACTTCCTCTCATGACTTCCTACTGACTTCCTTCTCACTTTATTTTTCCCCAGCAGCTTATCTAGCCCAGCAGTCTCTTAAGCTATATAAAAATTACCTTATATAGGAAGTGAATGATTACAATAAATACAAGAAAAAACAACATATTTTCCATATTCCTACATGATTAAACATCTTACATATTACAGGTGAAAAACAAATCATTCCCAAGAACCCACATACACTCATGTCTGAAGTTTAGATCTGTGATTCTTTTTAAGATTTTTTTTATAGGATTACTGTTGAGTGAAGCCTTTTCCTTGCCAGATGCTTTGGTTTTTCCCCACCAGTTGCCTGGGCTCTGTCACGTTGTATTCCCCAAATAACACACAAGACGCTGTATTAATTATGAAGCTGTTGGCCTTGCTTGTTTCTTACTGGCTATCTCTGACTTAAGTATTTACTCCATAATTGTTAATCTAAGTATTTCTCTTACTGCAGAAAGGGTCCGGACTTCTTATCCCTATGGCGGGCTACATCATGACTCCCTGTGTTTCTCCTTCCCAGAGTCCTCCTCGACTCCTAGTCCCACCTATCTTGCTTCCCTATTGGCCAACAGTGCTTTATTGACATATACACAGGACTTCCCCATCAGATTACCATTCAAGATAAGTAATAAAGTGATCGGTCCTTTCTTTGTAACCATAAAATGCAGCCTGCCAGAGAAGAGCACCTTGCTTGCTTACACTCGGGGGTTGGAGAGGTAGCTGAGAGTTGTCTATCTGGATGTACAGGCAGCAGGAAGTGACACTGAGCCCCACTAGGCCTGGCTTGAGCATTTGAAACCTCAAAACCCACCCTCAGTGACACATTTCCTCCAGCAAAGCAAGGTCACGTCTACTCCACACCTCCTGCTTCTGGCACTCCCTACGAGCCTGGGGGTGGGGTGGGGGATGGGGTGGGGTGGGGGATGGGGTGGGGTGGGGGATGGGGTGGGGGCGGGGGCACTTTCATTCAAACCACCGGAAGCAGCCACTGCCTGAGTTGAATGTAAAGAACACAACGCTAGCAGGAGCTGGGACAGACAGGGCTGTCGGCAGCACCGCTGTCGAGAGGACATACCACACCAGAAGGGTGGTCCAGTGCATAGATTCCAGCCCCGGAAGACGAAAGACAGTGCGGACCCTTCAGGCGACCGTGGAGGCCTCTGGGTTAACAAAGACCTCTTCCTGCACTCTCAAAGGAAGGAAGGCGGTTTATTTTGTAACCTCACAACATCGGGCACCAACGCAGATAAAGTGGCACCATAAAACTGAGTGAGGGGACAGTTTTAGGCCGATATGGACGAGAGGCAGAAGGTAAAGCTGTGTAGCTTAGGGGGAAATCTTTATCTTAGGCGCACACTTGAAACTTCCAGGCCCGTGGTCCGGTAGTTGGTGTGGTGGTGGAAGGGAGCCCACCCTCAGAGAAAGCTTAAGCAGATAGCTGCTGACAAGGAGTATTTATCTGGAGTCAGTCTGTGGCAGGTGGCTCGGTGTCTCAACTCCCTGAAGTGTCCATGAATTTTTTTTAAAGTTTGCAGAAAAAGAGATAAACGTTTTAGATATATTAGCATGGGCCACGCCGTCTGCAGTCTGCACCAAAGTTTGCAGCGTGGTAAAGGTAATCGAAAAGTGCCCATAACGACAGGAGAAGACTCAAGCTTTTGAACCATAACAGAAGCTAAGTTAAAATCATGAGCGCTTTTCGTTCTATCCAGAGGGCTGGGTGTATAGATCGGACAGAAAAGTCTTCAGGACAACGAGACGCTCTTTTAAGTCCACTTAGCGAACAACCAAAGGAAATTCAAATTTTTGAGCCCATCTATGATGACAGTAGTCCGTGCTTTACCACAGCTAGATTAATAGCTTCTCAGACTCAGCTGATCGATAGGCTAAAGGTCTGAATGTCTGAAATGTTAGTGTCATGGATCACCTTTAAGTCTCATTTTTCACAGACCTCGAATCACTCCCTCCGATCTTTCCATCTTGCATTTACAAAGCTTAAATCACTTCCTTAGACACCCTCCTCCTAAAGTCCACCCACACAGCTTAAGTCACTCCCTCAGACTTTCACAACTTTCATAAACTTTAAACCCCCTTTTCACACAATCATTTAGCACAGGATAGCCCATTACTGAGAGCAGTCACTGAAAAGCAAGTCCTTTTAAGTAAAGGAATAGTAAAAGTAAAATTTCAGTTAGCAGTAGCAGCGTGGCAGTTGGAGTCTGCCTTTCCGTTTGAAACCCGTTTTGCGATTTTTCTGTCTCAGTGTGAAGCCTGGACAGCCAGACAGCTTCTCTGAGCCTGCCTTTCTCAGCAGGGGACAAGCAGCAAAGCCTGATAGTCATACACGAAATGGGCTGACTAAGCAGCAGCTGCTGATCTGACATCGAGTCATCAGCACCGTCACAGAGACCCGAAAAGGGATAAATTGGAGCAGGAAGTGTAATCCAGATGGACTCTGTACCAATTAAAAAACGACTGAGAGTTACTACTACCAGGACAGCCAACCTGGGATCCTCTGCTAGTGACCCTTGATGGCTTTGTTGGGGGCAGAGATCTTCAGTCTCCAGCAGTCACACGGAACATCGTCAGCCTTAGACTGCCACGCCAAGAAGGTCTGGAAGATTTTCCTGTGGAGGAGGAACTTGGGAGCACTTATGTACCTTGGTGAGACAGAGTAGGTCAATCAACCCAACAGCCTGAGCAGTTGGGCAGGACCCTGATGGAGGGCTAGGCATGGACACGGCCACTCTTTGCTCAGGGGACACGGTTACCTGTAGGTGGAGGGAGCTCCAGGGGGAATCTGCTGCTGCCCATCTTCTTTGGAAACAGCTTCAGCTGCTATTCCCAGAAGCCAGTTTTTGTTTTGTTTTGTTTTTGTTTACGAGGGGAGGCCTTTTCATTTAACACCTTCTTCGAAGCCACACTCTGGTCTCCAAGGGGTTCGGGGGACATCAGCTAACCTGTGATGTCTACCTGGCTTTAAACTTTTAGTTGCTTGCTTTAGGCAGCATATACAGAAGGCTAAAAAGATTGTCCCTGTAAATGAATTAAGTTTGTACTTATTGTGACTGCAAGCGTAGTTCTGAGCACGCCAAAGACTCTGATCACTTATCAGGTCGTTAACTTTTGATCATCATCTGCTTGCACGTCTTAATTATTTTTAACAGTTTGGAAGTTAGTGGCTTCTGTAAGATTAGGATTTACAGTTTCATCCCTGTTAAGTTTGAGCCTTAAAAACCTAAATTGAAGATTTAATTGAAAAGCCTTTCTCATCATCAAAATGACACTTTAAACCGTAAACACGGTCCCACAGCGAGACTGGGGACCTTCTGTTCCCTGTCCTTTCATCGTGCCCTTAGGGAACATCAAGTTTCTTGTATGACTGAGTTTATCCAAATAGCTAGGGCTTAACAAAGTTAGCAAAGTCACAATAGCACACAGGATCCAGACTCCTTGTGCACATCCCATCTTTACATGGCTCTTTTACTGTCTCTCTAAAGACTTTAGTTTTTAAAACTCTTTCTATAACTGTCTAAAACCATCTTCTTTCTTCCTTAAGCCTACGCAGATTGTGAAACACACTGGAACCTGTTTAGAGTTTTGTTTTTCCATCTGGACCTCTTTTACTGGGCACCTTTTAGCCTTTTTTTTTTTTTTTTTTTTTTTTTTGACCACACAAGCAAACTTCAGACTGTTACGCTACACCTGGATCCTCTGCGTGTCTTCCTTGGCTGGTTCTATTTAACTCTAGGTTCCTAGTGGGAAGTTCATGGCCAGGGACTGCATCCAACTCCCCAGCTACGGAAAGCCAGTGCCCTGCATCATTAAAACAAACATTTCTGTTCCTACTTAACCTACTTAAAGTACTGGCTTCTCAAGGGCTCCCTGTCCAGCAGAAACCATCAGAAACTGTCCGGCAGAAAATCTTAAAGGAGCCGTATGCTGTTTTGTTGTTGCTGGTTTTTTTTTTTTTAACTGTCTCAGGCCCCATGTTTGTACGCCAAAATATAGTTGGCTGTTTTAAGCTTTCAGCTTTTTTTTTTTTTTTGGAGGGCCAGCCACCCAGCTCTCAAATTAATCCCATGCAGAGTCTTATTCTTTCTTATAAATGCCCGACCTTAGCTTGGCTTATTTATAGCTAGCTTTTTTTTTTCTTAAATTATCCCATCTACCTTTTGCCTCTGGGCTTTATATCTTTCCCTGTTTCTTCGTGTCTCAATTTTACTTTACTCTGTGGCTGACTCTCAGTGTTCTCCTCCCCTCGTTCTCTTGCTCCTCCTCCTTCCACCCAGATCTCTCCTGTTTATTCTCTCTGCCTGCCAGTCCTGCCCGTGCTTTCTCCTGCCTCACTGTTGGTCATTCAGCTCGTTATTAGACCATCGGGTGCTTCAGACAGGTGAAGAGTCAGAGTTAAACAAATGCAACGTAAAAAAAAAAAAACCGCAACGCATCTCTGCCCCATGGAAACAAATGTCCCACAGCATAAACAAACTTAACACACCTGAAAATAATTTTCCACAGCACAAACATGCTTGGGTCTGGAGACGGAGGGCCGTAACCCAATCCAGAGCCAGGTTTTTTTTTTTTTTTATGGAGGAGGATAGCATTCTTTTAACATTACCCATACTCGACACATGTGAATCTCTGTGAGACTGAATCCAGTGACCAGAGGGAGAGACTAGAGCAAACAAGGCAAAGACGACTCAGAGATGAGACAAAAAAAAAAAAAAAAGCAGGGAGCTAAGAAGGCTTAGAGACAAGAGGTTTTCTGAGAGCGGAGAGCAGAGAAAGTTTAAAGATCAGAGATTCTGGGATCGTTTGTGCAGTGGCAGAAGTTGTCACAAGCTGCGAGAACTTGGAAGTCTAGTGTGCCATCTTTGGCCGTTGGGCTGTACTGAGGCCAAGCAATTTGCCGTTAGATAGCGAGGTTTAATGGAATCTCTGAGTTTCAGGAGGGAAAGAGGCCAGGGAAGGTAGGCAAGGAGTATGCTGAATGGGAAGAGATAGAACGATCAGGAAAAGAATACATGACAGAGTAAACCCCAGGAGCCAGCCGGGAACGTGTGTGGAGGCAGAGCAGGGACGCAAGAGAGAGGGGTACGTCCCCCAGTGAAATAATTTCAATCCAAGGCATCACCAGGTGGACAGAGAGACTTGTCAGAGAGAAATGTCCCAAACCACAGAGGAGAGGTGTTCCTTCCCAGGGGATGGGTGCCCAGTTGGGACAAAAGAAACTACCTACCTGATGCACTGTCATGACCCTTGTAGCAATCGTAGGCCCCAGGAGCTTACAGAGCCGGCAACTCTGAGGAGATACCCAAGTACCAGGAGACGCGGCTGAAGAGGTGGACTCCGTTTGGAGTCAAACATGGTAGGCGCCAGAAGCTACCAGAAACAAAGGAGTCGACACCTTAGCGGAGTCAAATCAGCAGCTTGGTTTGGTTAGGAGAGGCGGAGCTCCTTGGAAAGAGATCCATTTGTGCCCCTCCCAGGTGTCTGGGATTCGTAAACCAGATGTATAAACTGATGACACAACCACTCCATGGTAAGCTTAAGGAGAAGGTTTCCTATTATAGATATAAGAGAGGAGAAAGGACAGTCAGAGACATCTGGAAGAGTCCACAGCAGAAAGAGAACAGAGTCAACTGAACATGGCTGGCAGGCTGGACCTGGCCAGGACTATCTGTGAGAGAGGGGAGAATATCAGGAGATAGAGAATAGACAGGGAGGGGGAGGGGGAGGGGTAGAGGCAGGGAGAGGGAGAGGGAGAGTCAGGAGGGAAGCCCTTGGACTGGGTGGAGTTTAGGCTAGGGGAGGAGGCTACAAGGGCCAAAAATGCTAGCAGAATTTGAAATGGTACCTGGTACTTATGATACTGAGGGAGCCTGGAGGCTGGCATGGACTTTGATATGCTAATAGGCACCACAGATAGTCAAATTTCCCTATGGCCAGAGGTAGATAGGAACTAGCTTCACAAGTTCCTGAGGAATGCAGGCTTTTATCTAATGGCCAGAAATCCTCCTATGGCCCAGGTTGAGTTCCTTTCTGTATGTTTGGACTGGCTTTTGGAGTTTGGGGAATTGGGAATCTCATTAGGAACTAACAGGACATGAACACAGCTTTCTTGAGTGCTTGTCTCCTCACGGGTGGGTAGGATGCTGGATCACAGAGGCGTTGGGGGAATATCCTCACGGGTTTGGATTGTGATTGCAATCCCTACCTCCAGAGGGGATTGCAAACCCATTCTGCATCCCTGAGTGACCTGGGGAACCTTTAGAGAAGTCAAACATCACGCCACACAACTCAGAACCCAGGACCCGTTGTTCAAAGTCCCAGGTCACCTCCGTGGTGCTAGGGGCGGAAGGCCATCGTGATGGAACAGGGAGACAAGCCGGTGTGGTCTTCTGGCTCCAGTGCAGGCCTCCTGGTCCCCCAGGCAGCCAGCGAGAGCAAGGGCTGCTGGGAGCAACCTGGTAGGGGTTTCTGTTTCAGTCCCTTCACCGGATTCCCACCTGCTCTCCTCATCAGGTTGCTCAGTCACTGGATGGTTTTCGGATCGGGTGGGGTGGTGGGGTCGGGGAGTAGGCAGGAAATCAATTTGGAAGCCAGAGGCTGGGGTACAGTGTAGGGTCACGGGGAAAAGGGGGAATGAGCTATGTCACAGCTGGGCTGCTCAGCCCCTGTTAAACAGAGTTACCGCAGGAACAGCCCCCATTAATTCCACTATGTGCCTTGAACCCAGTGGAGATTCCCTTCTCTCTCCTCTCACGTGGGAGGCTAATAACGTTTTCCTCCCAACAGCTTGCTCCATTCAATTAGTATGATGGATCTGGGATGGATGGAGGTGTGCGGGGAAGCTGGGAAGGGCCTTTCCCTTTCCACACACCTCTGCCGTTCAGTGGGAGCCGGAAGAGCAGGCTGCAACACTGAGGCGGGTTTGGCAAGAGGGCAGCACGAGGCAAACAATTATGGTGGATTTAGGGCCTGGGTGTGGGCTTCGCGGCCGTAAAACCGGGGGCTGCCTCTGGCTGGCTGTCTCTCTGCAGGCAGCTAGCAGCTTCTTAATGGGAATTCCCAGCGGGCGGTTTTGATGTATTACTCACAGCTGAGCCCAGAGAGCGCTAACTTCTTTTGCAATTCTCTTTCTCACAGATGCAATTACTGGAGTGAAATTTGGTCGGGGGGCTGTACAGAGATTCTATTTTAAGGTTACTCTCTCTCTCTCTCTCTCTCTCTCTCTCTCTCTCTCTCTCTCTCTCTCTCTCTCTCTCTCTCTCTCTCTCTGTCTCTCTCTGTCTCTCTGTCTCCTGTCTCCCTCTCTCTTGGTAATCGAGGAGTGGATAGTGATTGTTAAACACCCCGGCTGTGGAACCCTCCAGCCCAAAGGTGAACGCTCGCTCCCCCCTGGCCCCTCGGCCTGAAGCACAAGGTTTGGTGTGACAGTCCTTACCCAGGTGCTGTCAGCTCACTGCAGGGCTGGGAGTGGACCTGGTTGGTCACAAGTGACTGCTTGAGGATCCTTCAGGCTGCTTAAGGGCCGGCTCAGTAGGTAGAATGTGAGACTCTTGATCTCAGCGTCATGGGTTCGAGCCTCATGTTGGGTGCCAATTGAAGGCAGGAGTTCACCAGACCCAAGATAAATGGTAAATAGGTGTTTTATTGGGGGAACAACTTACATAGATGAGCGTAAAGAACCGCGGCGTTCCCGCTCCAGAAGATGCAGTAAGTCTCTGCCCTTTGGATGCTCTTTGCCACTCAAGAGAGCTCATACCCGCCCCTCCTCTGCCTTCAAGGGGGTCACATCCACACCTGAAACCACGCCTAAAGGGTGTGGCCACCACTACAAGTTCACTGGCAAGGTGAGATATCGCTACAGCTGCTTAAGATGATTTTTTTTTTGTCTGATTCTCCATCACTGGACGGAACTTGGTCTTCTGGGTCCCCCAGGCTTTGCTGCATCACCTCTGTGTGTCCCAGCTGAGGAGTCCCTGGGAGAGCCTAGCCTTAGTATGTAGGGGAAGCCCAAGATGAAAAGTGTCCAGGTGTTCTGAATGCCACAGCTGTTTGCTGCCCCCCTGACTTCAGATGGCCGAGGTTCAGACAATGCCTTCTGGGCTGACAATATGTCTCAAACCTCCCGGTTGACCAGATGTCTCAACACAGGAAAACAGGATAAAAGGTGAGATTCAGTTACCACGGCAACCTGTGTGGTTTCCGGGGAAGCTCTGAGCCCCGCCAGGCTCTAGCAAGTATAGCAGGAATGGTCCAGGGACAAGTCTAATCTACCTGTGAGTTGCCGATCCAGGGTGGGTATCCATGACTTCCCAGCTCAGTGGATGGGTCCTCTTATTAGATCCAGTGCTAGGATGTATATGCCAAGTGAACGGTGCAGTTAATTCAGACTTACTCTAGAGTGTTCTGTTTGCTTAAAGACGAGGTTACTTATTTGTTTACTTATCCTGTGTTTGGATGTGTATGCAAAACGCACTGTGCAGTTATTTCAAACATATTCTGGAAGCAAAACTGAATTATGTTTCTTCTTCTTGTACTACCCCTGTCCCCAACAAAGGATTGCTTTAGATTCTGAACATAACTCTGGGTTCATATTAGACTTCCTTGATGTAGACTTTTCTCATAGATCTCCAATGGGACAAAACGAGGTTCTACCCCTAAGTAAACAGAATCAGGTGAGGGAGGTAACATTGTCTCCGTGTCAGCATGCGCAGGACCTTAGTGTGCGACCCCACCCCACTTTTATATTACTGTAAGATGGGTCTGTTGTGCCTAGTCAGAGGGGAGGAGCCCGAGAGCATCCTAGGACTTCCTCAGTGAGTCTGACCAAGCCTTGTGACCTAAGCAGTCAGGGTCCCCTGAAATCAAGGAGGTACGGGGGGGGGGGGGAGCCTGACCTTTAAAGAGAGTTCACACCTGAGGTGGGCAGCATAGGCCTCCCAATGTGATGCTCCTCCCGGACATGGTGGTGGGTTGGCCGGCATCTGAGGTCCCCGTTTTCCTGTAAAGGCTCTTAGGGGGACGAGATACGGTTGGCCCCATTGTCCTACCTGGTGGCCTGTCGGGAAGGAAGCTTGCAGTGTGCTTTCTCAGCGTGGCAGGTGACATTGTCAGGCTGGCTGATGCAGTGACCAGTGATGAGCAGTGAGGGCAGGGACAGCTGGGAAGGCCTGGAAACTTGGCACCTTTGTCCTATCCCATGCAGGCTGGAGAAGTGTCTGCGCTGTAATTTGGGGGCTATGAAGTGTCCCCAACTGAGGTAGGGAGTATTCCCAGATTTGTGATCATTTAAAGGAACACTCCACAGGTACCGGCGTGGCGCAAGAAATGATCTGTATTTTTGTTTCTTAAATAATGAGTTTACCCTGACTCGATGGAAGGAAGTTTATTGGTATGCCACACACCAATCAGCAGATCAGCACTGGCGTCTAGACCCTAGGACAGAGGTTATTGTGGGTGACACATGATGAAGGTGACTCCTAAGATCAGGCCAATGAATTCAAAAACAGAAAAAAAAGTGACGCTTTTTAACTTGGCCCCAACAAAAGAACATCAGTATGTTCATCTGGGAAATGCACACCGTTTAATGACTAAAACATCCTCTCAGGGTTGGGGACGTGGCTCAGTTGGATTGGAAGAGTTCTTGTCTAGCACACACAGAGCCCAGGGTCAATACTCCGCACTGGGTAAAACTGCTCTGGTGCCTGTAATCCCAGCACTCTGGAGGTGAAAGTAGGGGATTGGACGTTATAGGCCATTCCATGTTACTGGGAAAGTCTGTAGGTAGCCTAGCTATGTGAGACCATTCAAGCTACAGAGATGACAATGCTCACAGTTTGTCCCATGTGGGCTAAAAGCATTGAAGGTACATGACCTTAGGGCTCCTGGGAACAGCGGAGCTGTTTGGGCTTAGAAGGACTGGGACCTGCTCCCCCAAACTTTGGAAAGCACAAAGTCATCTTTGGGAGGGTACCAGTTTCCTTCCTTCCTTCCTTCCTTCCTTTCTTTCTTCCTTCCCTTCCTTCCTTCTTTCTTTCCTTCTTTCCTTCCTTCCTTGTCCTTTTTTTTTTAAACCAGACTTATTTTAGACAGGCGATGTCAACATTTTTTTTTTAAACTCCATTCTTCTACCCTTAAAGTACTTACTGGAACCGTCATTGTCTGCCTGAGTCTGTATGCTCTGTGAGGGCTGCTCTTTTCCCATGGAGCTTCAGTGGGCTTGAACATCAGCCAGCCCAGCACCTCTTCTTAGAGACCCCATGGCTCAGCCCTCCCTGGCTCTCTGTTCCTTATATCTTCATTTGCTCAGCCTAAGGCGGCAGCAGCTTTCCATTGCTGCAGTATAGTCTTCTTTATACTATGGAAAACTGTGAAGGCTTCAGAAAAGCTCGCCTGGCTCTCCTCTCTCTCTCTACCTCCCCTCTCCTCCCCATTCCCATTCTTCTCTCTCCAGCAAGGTTCTGACTCCCTCCTCAGATCGATGCTTTTATGGACTCAGTACAATTCGTTGGTCCTTGGTAATTCATTGTCCTAAGGCGGGCTCACCCGTTTATATCTAGCTCATGCCTCTTCTATAGTCTGGGAATCCTGAGTCCAACAGGTGGCACTTCCAACTGCAGGTGGATCCACGGGGGAGTGGGGGGGTTGGGGGAGTGGGGTTTCACTTTCCATAAATCTCCTTTTTGACACCATACAAGTTAGCATCTTGGTGATCCTGTCACAGCTGTGCCTTTGTCTGTCACTATCTGCAGCAGTGACTCAGACCTAGCATTGTCTGTGTGGCTTGTGCCCTGACCTAGAGAGCAATACTCTTGCAAGCTGGCCTCCCTGCCCGGAGTCAGGTTCCTGCTGCCCTTAGGCTCAGGCTTCCCTGTGCCACCTTTTAACTGCTTTTTCTGAGACTTACACCTTCTCAAAATTTCCAGGGCAGTGGGTGAGTCAGATACGTCCTAGAAGGCAAGAAGCAATTTCACTCCATCGGCACAGAGATACACAAGCCCTGCTCAGTGGAGAAGCTAGAGGTGTACTGAAGACCTTGCTCTGGGGCTCTCCAGGGCCTCTCACCTCTAGAGCTTTGGGGATTTCAAGGGGGCAGTGTGGACCTTTGTAGTTGACCTAGCCACTGCTGTCTGGTGGGAGCTGCTGAGAATACCTGTCAGGAAGAGGGGCGAGCCTGGCTCAGGACATACCATGCACCATCTGGAGGTCGCCTGCAGGGATATTAACTCAGAAGTATATGGGTGGTGGGAGCCCCAGCTTTTGAGCTAAAGAAGATAGCCTGGGCCAGACCCCCAAGTGCCCAAAGTAGGCTGGGGTAATGAAATTTCCCCCCAGAACAGGGATGGCTGATTTCTCTCCCCCCCCCACAGGTACCAGGCTTTCTTTTGGACCACCAGCCAGCTCCCAAATCACGACACAAAGGCTTACTAGTTTTGAATGCTTGGCCTTAGCTTGATTCTATTTAATCTGTTTCTCTTTATCTACATTTTGCCTCTGGACCTTTTCTTTCTGTATAGCTTATTCTCCTGCTGTCTTCATGTCTGGTTGGTGGCTGTCTGACTTCTGGCCCCTGGCATGTCTCTCTCTTTCTCCCCTTTTCTCTTCTTCTCCTGAGGCTGGCTAGACTTCTCTTACTTTTCTCTCTGCTCACCAGCCCCGCCTATCCCTCTCCTGTCTACCTATTGGTTGTTTAGCTCTTTATTAGACCAATCAAGTCCTTAGGCAGGCAAAGTGAAATAAATGTAACACATCTTTACATCATTAACAAAGGCAGCAGAAACAAATGTAGCACATCTCTGCCTAGTTAAAAATAACATTCTACAACATATGGGGACTTTGCTTGCTTGTCTGTTATATGGGAGCCATGAAAATGAAGTTCCAGAGGCCCAAAAAGAGGGGTTGAGATTGGGTGTGGCTACTGGTTTGGGGTAATGGTCTTTCTAGGACTTTTTACTAAGTAAAAAAGAAGTGGTTTCCACAAGGGTGGCACGTGATGGCAATTTGTTTCTTTAAAAATAATGTTTACAGGAACAGTGTTGCAAGTGGTGTTCTCAGATAGAAAGACAAACACAAAGTTACTCCTCAAGCCCAGAGTTCCCGGGAGGGGTACTTCCCATCTGCACTACCCATAGTGTTTTGCTTTGTTTTGTTTTGTTTTGTTTTTGCAGAGGTACTTCCCATTCACTATTTGACCTTTGCGACCCGACTGGCTCTCCTTTTCTTTTCCCAAGGCTGAATTGTTGCTGTAGACAAACTACAGAGGCCATCATGGGTTTAAAGCGGATTGCAGAGGGACCCCATCATTGCAGTTTCTCTTTCTTGATCATTTAGAATCTTCCTGTACTCAATGAATGACTCATTTCATTAATTTTGATTTTGTGACACCCAATAACGGATATCAACCACCAGAAATTCACATGTAGCGTTTAATTTTGGTGAGGGTGCCCTGGCGTCAACACCCTCTGAATCTGTGGTTCCCTTGTCCTTGTCTTCAAAATTGACTGAGGATCCCACTCCAGAGTCAGCCTTGCTAATCTGCCCTTTATGATCTGCCGTTTTCTCTTGGTTCATTGAGATTAGGATATGCACCACGGTGCTCTCAGTATTTCATTTATTATTTTGTCGGCATGCCATACTAAGTAACCTTGGATGGGGCTTGCATCCAGTCCCACAGACACGCAGGACTGTGCCTTTATCTCTATGCCTGGCATGAAGGTTTTTCTTTCCAGCCCCGGAAGGCCACCAGATGTCAGTATAGCTGAGCAAACAAATTCCCTGACACAAGGTGGACCCAGGCTCACTGGATCCAGGCTCAGCTTGCTTCTTATAGGGAGGGTGGTGGCTCCATCACTAGGCCCAGGCACGGCTTCCTTCTGGTCTTAATCTCTGGCCCAAGACCTTGAGGGCCAACCTGGTCTTTGCCCACCTTGGGCAAAGTTTCCTATCCTCGAGGCCATTTGCTTATAGTCTGAAGACCCCCAGCCTTGTAATTGTCCTGGCCAGAGGCCAAGCATTCTCTGTAGCAAGGCACTGTGCAAACCAGACACTGTCCTATATGAGTGATATTTACCCCCACCTCACAGCTGAGGGCAGCCAAGTCACGTGACTCAAGCCTCTGGTCTCAGGCTCCCATTTGACGACCATCTAAACAAACACAACACAACAACAACAACAACAAACCAAGACATGGTATAATTCTAGAACCAAAGCCCCACACCAGGCTCCTCCCTCTGAATCTATTCTGCAACTGTCTGGCTGCTTTATGAGCAGTGGGTGGAAAAAGGTGATTGAAAAGGCCAGTGAACAGAGCGGGGTGCAGAACTTGGAGAGTTATCCTAGCTATGTGTGAATAAGTAGCCACTCGGTGTAGGTGTCCTATCTGTGGACCCGAAACGGAAGCCACACCCCTTTGGGTGTGGCTTCAGGCGGGCATGGGCTGGTGGCAGGGTGTGCTGCGGCTCCCGGAGGAACTCTTTGTCGAAGGAGGTGAGGGAGCACGTGGGCACGGACCATCTGGGGAACAAATACTACTACATCGCCAAGTACAAGAACTGGAGAGGACAGGCTATTCGAGAGGAAAGAATTGTAGAAGCAGCAAACAGAGAAGAGCTAGACTGCGAAGCAGGAGACATCCCAAACAGAGTGGGAAGCGTGGATTGGAAGGACAAGAAAAACTCCGCCTACTATGGGGGAAATACTAAAGTATGAAAAACACACAGAGGAAGCTAAAATAAAAAGCAAAGGTTTTTATGAAAAAGATAAACTCAATAAAGAAACCAGCAAGGAACTCTTGCTGGCACCTGCTGCAACTCATTTTAAAGGGCAGCTGTTTCAGGTCCACAGACAACTCGGGGTTGTGGATGGGAGGAAGGGACCCTGAGACGCGGCTGCTCGGAACCAGTGTCCACCTGGCTTGAGGAAGAGCTGCCAGGGACCAGCTGCAAGAGTTTTCCCCTTGGGAAGCCAGAGGACACTAGACAGGATCGGCCTTCTATGCTCACAAGGACAAACCAATGTTCAGTTCCACTGAAGTCCCCCCAACCCCTGCCCCGAGGCAGCTAGTGAGTTTATTGGGCTTGCTTGCTTACAGAGTGTGGGTATTCAACAGCACCCTAGTGTGTTCCTGGGGTAGCTTGCCCATCTCTGCACGAAGCACACTGCTTCATGAGTCTCAGCTTCAGGGGTCCCTTGAGACTCCTCTCGTTTCTGTCCTTGGTGTATGGCATGCTGCTTTACTGTTGGAAAGGTGGTCCCAAGTCTTCCGAGTCCCCTGTGCACCTGCACACGCCTGCACACACACGCACACGCATGCACACACCTGCACACGCAGCAGGGAGATCTTTAAATCGGGTGGCAAAGGTTTGTGGGAATAGACAACTTATTGACCCTCGAGGTGTGTGTTTGCTGTCACTCGCCAATCAAGAGCAGTGACTGGATACTTGTAGCCGCATGTTATGTCCCTGTCACACACAGGGACAGGAATTCTCTAGAGATGAGTCACAGAGCAGCCATGTCCAATGGCTTCCGTCCCCCAAGCAGGTCAGGTCTGGACCAAGCTGTGGTTCTTAAACTTTCCTTTAGCCCATGCATCCCTCTTGCCACCTGGGCCATTGCAGAGGGGTCTGCATTACTGAGGTTAAGTCAATTAGGGCGAATTAGGAATCTTAGGGATATAAGACCTGGTAACTTGGGATGTGGAACTTGGTGTCTCAGGTGAATGGACACAGGAAGCGGGAGGGGAGGTGATGTAGCCCCCTAGTGTTTCACCTTGAGAGAGGTGATCACAGTGAACTTGCTGTCCCTCAAAGAGTTCCCCCAGCGTCTGCTCTGGTTCTTGGCTAACAAGTGCCAAGTGTTTCTACCCAAGTGTCCCAGCAGGGGGCACCAGCACCATGAATAAGAGGCCTTGTGGGATGAAAACACAGACCCAAGCTAGCATTCAGCACAAATGCATCAGTGATAGCCCTGCTTCGTGAAGCCCTGGCCTGACTGATGCCGGCTGGCTCCACGGCCCAGAGGCAGCAGGGAAACAAAAAGACACCATGTTTCACCCCACAGTGGTCCCCCTACCAGCCAACCAAACCAGCGTGAGGAGAATGGAAGTTAGAGGAGGATCCTTAGTCACAAAGACAGTGCACGGTGCCGTCTCAGAAGCCGGTGCACTCAGAGCTGCTCGGCTAATGTACCCATGGTGGGAGCACGGTGCTGTCCGTGAGGGTCTCCAGATCTGCCACTGTCTTGACCCTGGAGGAACTTGATGACACCGTGCTGGCTCACTGGCATGGCTGGATGCCATGTTGTCCACCATGCTTCATGAATGTGGATACCGCAGAGGCTGGCCCATCGTGGGCGCCACATATTACCACCTAGTTGGCAGGAAGATACGCCAAAACCACAAGTGTGTGTGTGTGTGTGTGTGTGTGTATGCCTGCTTAACAGTCGGGAGCCGTGCTCCTGTGGACTGCGGTGCACAGGAGATGGGGTTATGTTCTAACTTGGGGATGCCCTAGGAAACCAAAAACTTCTTGGCTGGGCTCCCCCAGTCATACTAGGTGAGATTTGTCTGTATAATTGGGGTCAGAAGTGAGACTGTGGCATCTGCTGTGCACATATATGATGGCATGTGGACACAAGTGTGTATACGTGAGTATGTGCGCACGCAAGTGTGTTCGTGTGTGCATGTCTGTGTGTGCATGAGTGTGCATGCGTGTGTGTGTGTGCATGAGTGTCTGTGAATAGATAAGAGGATGACTTTCAGGAGTTAGTTTTCTCCCCCCACCATGGGTTTCTGGGGATTGAACTCAGGCTGCCAGGTTTGTGTAGCAAGTGCTTTTATCCACTGAGCCATCTCTCTGGCCCCTGCTGTGTTTTATTGTGTTTTCTTTTGGCTTATGTATACCTGTCTTCACATGCTACATGTGCAATGAACAAGAACAGTACAAGAGGAATTTGGAACGACTCCAGGCTTCTGATCCCTTAGACCCTCCCCCAGGTCCTGCATTGCCCCATGGCCCTACAATAGACCACTGCATAGCAAGCCCAAGATATGTCAAAGCCTCCCTTCCCCACCAAAGGCCCTGGAAGAGGTTGTCTGAATATTTTTAAATGAGTTCACTTATTGGACCAAAATCATCACAGAGAAGATAACAACTTTGACCTTGGTGAGCCAACCCCCCCCCCCAGGCTTGAGCGAGGTTCCCCCAGGCTTCTCGTGGGCACCAGCGAAGCCAGTGGGGAGGAGGGTGTAGCGCACGTCTTCAGTGCCTGGTTCTGGGAAGAGAATAATCCGTATGATCTCAGAGCCCTCTGGGTTAATGAAAAGATCTGCACTGCGATGCGCTGGGTTATCTACGACAATGCCATGATGGCCAAACTAGCCGCTGAGCTCCTTCATCCGCTTCCCAAAGGACATCTCAAGGTGAAAGTCATCTGCAAGCTGGCCACTGGTATCTGGGTGATTCAAGATGGCTTTATTCTGCCCCTCGAGGGACAGGCAACCCTTGAAACACCGAGCCAAACCACCCCAGGCACTCTAAATAGGAGGCAGAGTGACTCCGCTACCATAACACCTACTCAGTGAGTGTGGCTGTTCCGTCTACCCTCAGTCTGACCCTCCCTGGGTGTGATGTGTGACGGAGACCTTGCCGAGCGGCCTGATGCCGACTGGGGAAGGTTAGTCGTCATTACTGCAGTTAGACTCACTCAGGAGACAGAACTTCCTGGGCGTTTCCAGAGAGGAGTTAACCTCGGAATATATGCAAAGCAGATGCGGTGAAGAAAGCAGGGTCATGGCTGCCTCACTCGGAGGAAGGCTTTTGTTGTACACAAAGGAGAGAGGGAAAATATCTAGAGATGTCTGGAAGGGTCCAGAGCAGAGAGAAAAAGAAACAGACTGGACGTGGCCAGGACTGGGTCAGTGGGGGAGTAGCAGAGATACTAAGGTAGCCGAGAATAGAAAGAGAGAGTAGCAGAGAGCAGAGGGTTAAAAGGAGGGTGAGCAGCTCAGGGGAGGAAAGCCATTAACTGGATCAGGCCCAGGATGCTATCGCGGACTTTGAGACGTATAACGGGTACCTGTGAGTAGGGGCTGCAGGAGTGATGGGGGGAGTCCTTCTGTGTATACGTTTCTCTTACCGGTTGATGAATAAAGAAAGCACTGTTTGACCAATAGAGGCAGGAAGATAGGTGGGGCCAGGAGGCGAGGAGGATTCTGGGAAAGGTAGGCAGAGAGAGTCCCCCAAGGAAGCATCATGCAGAGACTGGGAGGGTAGGACGCTCCAGGCGTTCTCTGGTAAGATAAGGCCACATAGAAATGCGTGGATTAGTGGTCATGGGTTAATAACTAAGACAGAGCTAGCCAGTGAGAAGCCCTAGCCATCGGCCAACAGTTTTATAACTAATATAGCATCTGTGTGTTTATTTGGGGCTGAAGCGGCAATGGTATATGTCAACAGAGAGCCCAGGACTTGGCGAGGCAGCACCTTGGTCTAAGTGGTTTAGGCTCTCCAGCCAATGAATGGCATGCTTCATTATTAACGAGAGACAGTGGGACAAGACTCTTCCTTGTCTACGACAGGAGGTTTGCAGTGGACGCCCACTTTAACATCCCCTTATGATTTGGGGGCCACATTCATGAAAAAATGCAGGGCTCCCACACAGTTCCTGGCCTATCTCTTGGCAACCGACCCCCTAACTGATTTTGGAGTCATAGAAGCCATCATGGTGTTTAAAATACAAACTGTCTCAGTTAAGGTTTCTGTTGCTGAGATAAAATACTATGACCAAAGAAACTTATGGAGAAAAGGGTTTACTTGGCTTATATTTCCATGTTGCTATTTATTATTGAAATAAGTCAGGATAGAAACTCAAACCGAGCAGACACCTGGAGGCAGGAGCTGAGGCAGAGGTCATGGAGGGGCGCTGTTTACTGGCTTGCTCCTCATGGCTTGCTTGGCCTGCTTTCTTATAGAATGCAAGACCACCAGCCTAGGGATGGCACTGCCCATTAAAGGCTGCCCCCTCTCACATCAATCACTAATTTTAAAAGATGTCCTACAAGCTT